TCTAGCTATGTTGCTTAGGCTTGTCTTGAACTCCTGGCCTCAAATGACCCTTCTGCCTTGGCTTCCCAAACCCCTGGGATTACAGGCATAAACCACTGCCCTAGACTGCTCTTTACATCTTTTGGGATTCTGTACAAACATGGAGCTAGGCCCAAAACATTAGAAAGAACAGATACCTGGCTGGGTGTAGTGGCTCATAACACTCTAGGAGGCCAAGGTGGGTGGATCAGCCTGAGCAACAGTGAGACTCTGTCTCTTAAGAAAAGAAAAAAATAAGCTGGGTGTGGTGGAGGGCTTTTCTAGCTACTCAGGAGGCTGAGGAAAGAGGATTGTTCAAACCTAGGAATTTGAGGTTGCTGTGAGCTATGACGACACCATTAGCACTCAACTCAAGGGTGACAAAATGAGGCTCTGTCTCAACCCTCCCCCCCCAACTACCCCCGCCCCCAAACCAGATACCTGTTGCTGTGCTCAATGAGAACCAAGTTCTTTCTAGCCTGGAGCAGTCAGTGCACCACTCACCTCTTTATGCCTATTGTCAAGGCCCAGCATCTTGCTCTGTGTCATAAAGACTATTTTTTTCCTTGGCAAGGCTGCAGCCTGTGTATCAACCCAGCCAAAACATCCAGATCTGAGCAGTGCTGTTTGGAGGAAAGGCCAGCAGTACTGCACAGTTTTAGTTCTTCTTGTTGGGTCACCTGGTCCAGGTACCAGGAGCCAGGTGGGACAGTGACAGGCACAGGAAAATGGTGTGGAAAAGAGAAAAACTTCTAAATTAAAGAGAGATGGTCAAAACCTTCTCAGCACCTGAACAAAGGGACAGCTCTACTGATCAATGTTCTGTTTTCTGTCTGGATCAGTAGGTAGCAGGAAGACCATAGCATCCAGGAGCCACTACCATGGTTTGAAACTTTTTTCAGAGCTGGGCCAGTATTGGCTGTACTGAGGATAACCACACTTTCTGAGCACAGTGCTCTATGGGGTCCTGAATGTTTTGACATATAGGATTTTAAGCAAACCTATGAAGTTTGCAATGCCCATGATGGATAAGGATGCAAGAGGCTTCTATCAGCATCAGTTAACTCTTGTCTGGGCAAGGCCTAGATCACTGGCCCTCATCACCAAGCACTGGTGATATTGGGTGTTTGCCATCAGCCTATGAGTGGAGGGCTCTCTTCAGGACCATGGCCTTTCTAGATGCTCCCACAGAATCCCCCTCCCACCTTGGGCTTCCCTGCCTCCAGCCCCCACCCCTATGCCTCCCCCTCCCAGGCTAGAAGCAGCATGCCCATTGGGGCACAGGTTTGCTCTGACTTCTTCATTTCCCCATCACTTCCATAGCTCAACAGGGATAGCACTTAAGGCCACACATCACAGGCTTTTCAAAAAATAAGGTTTCTTTATTGTCTTGGCTGTAAATATAGTTATAAAAATGCATTGTAGTGTTGAATACAGCTGGTGGAAACGTGCTTCTTGAGAGCAGAGCATCAGAGGGCCTTGCTCAGGGCAATGCAGGCCAGACCAGACTCTTCTCTGGCTTTGTTTCTCAGACTATGGGGGGTGACTGTCTCTTCCAAGGAGAACTGACACAATCACCAAAGCTCACAGAAAAGGAAAAGTAGCCATTTACACAATAAACTGAAACCTGAAGAAGGAATAGAATGTGGTGTTTCAGCTGTGGCATTACAAAACCAGCAAATGAACCCACTTTCCCTTCATGAGCCATGTGAGAAAGATGGGGATGGCAAAACAGGAGGGTGTCGTGGGAGCTCTCAAGCAAGAAACACAGCCTGAAGCAGGGGTCAAGGCTGAGCTGCTCTTGCCTTATAACTACAGGATGTAAACTCTACGGAAAAGTACAAAACTTCAGCGTCTTCCAACCTTCCACCATCTCAACTTCAAGATAGCTGTTAAGAAAATTGGAAGAGAATTCTTCAAATGGGCTACCAAGGTTAGGATTGCAGAACCAAAAGTTTGACAGGAAGATACAGGTGAATTTTGCTACATAATTAGAAATTTCACAAAAATAAAATTCCATGAAGTAAACACACACATACACACAGGCTTGTGCAAGTGTGCACAGATAAAAGTCAACATTCAGTATGAAAAGTTCCCTTTTCTTTTTTCAAAGGTTGATCTTCTTGCACCCCACCAAGAGCTTCCTACGTGGTGAGCTAGGAAGGCCGAGTCCTTAGCATGAAAAGCCAGTGGCTGATCTGGCCTTAATCACCCTTGAGGCCAGCCCTGGTGGAGGCACAGGGGTGGGTGTGTTCTAATTATTTTCCCCAAGCTTCTCATGTCCCCATAGAGTGCCCCTCAGATCATAAAACCCTCACAAACTGATCGTGGCCAAGCTGTCTACTAAATGGTACAAAAAAGTTGCTGAGATTCAAAGCTCTTTAACTTCCTGGACAGGTGTGGTGGCTCACACCAATGATCCTAGCACTTCAGGAGGCCAAGGCAGGAGACATGCTATAGACCAGGGGTTTCAGATCAGCCTGGGCAATACAGTGAGATCCCATGTCTAAAAAAATTTTTTTTTAATTAGCCAGGTGTGATGGCACATGCCTGTAGTCCCAGCTACTCAGGAAGCTAAGGTGACTCACTCAAGCCTAGGAGTTCAAGGTTACAGTAAGCTATGATTGCAACTCCAGCCTGGGTGACAGTCTCTGTTTTTAAAAAAAAAAAAAAAAATTTTTTTTTTAAAGCTCTTCATCCTCTAACCTTGCTGCTCCCTCTCTTTACATGTGTCCAGATGTGGCAAAACTCTCTTTGAGGCATCAAGGGCACTAAGCCTCAAACCACAGCCCCACTGCAGCAGACCATGCACACCGCCCGTGCAGACCAGTGCCCTCCAACCCTCTTCCCCATGAAACTGCTAAGAAAACACTTTGCAAAGGGAAGTTCCATGAGGCACTGGTGGGTTCCATCTGGGACCTGGTGGCTGGGAAGCAGGGTGTCCAGGGAAAGAGGCCTGACCTACATCCAGGCTGTTTGTTAGGAGACCCCAAGGACAAAGAACACAGAGGAGCCAGGTGACAACACAGAGGCACAGGGATAGCCAAGGGCAGGAATGGGTGACAGGAAGGGGTGTCCCAACCTGCCCATGCCAGTAACAGGGTGAGGAAAAAGCTGGGCAGAGGCCCACAGCACCCCATTGTTCACATCCTAGGTCTGCTGCCCAGGGCAGAAATAGCTCCACTCTGGGCTGGGCACCTATAGCTCCGTGGTTAGGACACTGACCACATGCTATGGGGCTGGGGGTTTCGAATCTGGTCCCAGCCTGCTAAACAAACAAACAAGATTGCCGGGTGTTGTGGCAGGCGCCTGTAGTCCTGGCTACTAGGGAGGCTGAGGCAAGAGAATAGCTTGAGTCCAAGAGTTTGAGGTTGCTATGAGCTATGACACCACAGCACTCTACCAAGGGTGACAAAGTGAGACTCTGTCTCAATTTAAAAAAAAAAAGAAAGAAAGAAAAGAAAAGAAAGAAAGAAACAGCTCTGCTCCCATAACTTCTTCTGAAAACAAAAGGTCTTGTCCAGCAGGCAACAAAAACATGCCATCTTCAAAACAACATCCCTGCCACCTCAGGCCACATCCTGGGGGCCAACGAGGGCCTTACAAGAAGGGGCCTTGGCAGCCATACACAGCACCCCCCTCTCTGTGCAGAAGACTCTAGCCTGACGCCAGGCTGCTAGCATGGAGCCAGCCAGGGTAAGGATACATATGAGTGAAGCAAGCCCTCGCTGGTGATGAAAGGGACAGAGGTGGCACCACCTTGAGGTTTGGGGTGCTGTGTCCTCTAAGAATGCAAGTTTTCATCTCCCAGCCACAGCAGAGAAACCTTCAGGACTGACTTCTAGAAATGGTAGCAGGTCCCAAGGACAGGAAATCTGAGAACACGGGGTCTGACTGACCACTGACCCCCCCCTGCAATGGCTCTGGGGGCACAGGCAGTGCTGGGGACCCTGTTGTCCTCTAGTCCCTTCCCTTCAAGACCTAGTGCTTCCCACAGGAAGGTGGCCCCCTGAAGGGGCCATCACACAGGTGGAAGCTGCTGGTCACCTCTCAGAAAGCCCCTGGGGTACCCAGCTGCCCCATACCTTCCACTCATCACTAAAGGACAGCAAAAGGTACAGGGGGCTGCCAGCACACAGGGCCTTCACTGAAACACTTGCAGGGTTTATATACCACAGGCCTTGCTTTATCTTTCCAGACGGATTTTCTTATTCTCCAAGTGCCAGAATTTTGAAATTTCTTTTGTGGGAGGGGGGACAGGAAAGGGGTGCAAAAGAATGTAAACAAAGCCCAGCCCCACAGTCAGTGCCCACTGGAGGCAACCGGCAGAGTGGCCTCAGCTGTCCTCTTCCCAGCCCAGGAGTCCAGGACAGAGGTCAAGGCCAGGCCCCTCTATCTGGCCAGATCACCAGGCAAGATTCCAAAACAAGAAAACTCCTGGGACCAAAAAAAAAACTATGTCTGGAGCAGAGATACAGCATTGTGGCCCTGTAGCCATGATAATTGTGAGCACCAAGAGAAGTAAATTTATAGAAATATCTTGAAACAAACATATGCATGTAAGTTAACAGTCTGCTGGGACACACACACACACTTACTTTAGGTCTCACACAACCTAATGGCCTTAAATATATGACGAAACAGAATCATGAACATTAATTCAGCAAAAGGGAAAGGTAGGCCAAAGAAACAATTGCCCAATTTTACATCCCATGGAGTTATTTATAAAAATGGGGGGGGGGGGGGAGGCAGCGCCCGTAGCCACATACACGGCTGGTGGGTTCAAACCCAGCCCAGGCCAGCTAAAATCAACAATGACACCTGCAACAACAAAAAAAATAGCCGGGCGTCTGGCGGGTACCTGTAGTCCCAGCTACTTGGGAGGCTGAGGCAAGAGAATCTCTTAAGCCCAAGAGTTTGAGGTTGCTGCGAGCTGTGACGCCACAGCTCTCTACCAAAAGCGACATAGTGAAACTCTTGTCTCAAGAAGAAAAAAAAAAAAATTACTCCCCAGCAGGGAGGAAAAAGCTATTGATTTAGGAGAGATCTTGGCTCGCTTGGCCAACCACCATGGCCACGTGTATGTTTTGTTTTACAAAGGCACAGGAATCGGGCAGGACTGGGCTCACAACCCTCCATGAGATCCTCACAGCTAAAACTTTCAGTTTTTTTTTTCCTTCTGACCTTAGTGGAATTCTTACCACTAGTGACCTTTGCCTTTAAAAAGGTGACTTCATATTTGTCCTGGGGGTAATGGATGGATGCTATCACCATTTCCCAGTGGAAATTCCAAGGACCAGCCCAGCCTTGTCTTGGGATCTGGAAGGCCTGTAAACGTTTTCTGGGTGGCTAAGGGTGCCACCAAGCTGCTCTAGTATGGGGCTGAAGCACAGGTAAGAGAGCAAGTGGCTGGTCAGTGACCTACAGCAGAGGCAGTGGCACAGCCAGTGGCAGGAAGATCCCCATCTCTGTCTTCCATGAACTGGGGCTGAGACAGACCTGGCTACCCCTCTGAACCCCCCACCCCATGGTGACTAGGCTTACTCCAAAGCCCTCCCCAGGCCCTGCAGGCAGGGAGTGTAGGGGAAGAGGCAAGGAGGACAGAGGTCAAGTGGAGAGCCTGCTGGCTGCTCTAACTTCACAGCAAGCCTTTAACACATATTCTTCCATAAGGAGGTACCCTTGGCTGGGTTTCCTGAGTGTTGGAGAGAGCCCCTGCCCCCTGCAGCAGCATGCAGAGGCAGCCAGAGACGAGGGCAAGCACTGTGCAGTCGGCCCTCCTGCTGCTCCTCAGGATGGCCAGGCCAACCCTGAGTTCTGCCTGTCAACATTCAGTTTCTTCCTCCAAACACAAGATGGACAGACTTTGAGTGTGGTGGCATCTTTGGTCTGAGAAGTGTCCTGGTGACAAGATGAAGAGGCTAAGAGACTGGCACATGGAGTCTGACCTTTGAACTTAGAACTGCAAGGTTATACATTTGCCCCCTGCACACACTTGACTTGTCTGAGCTGCAGCTTGGAAGCAAGTGGAGAATAATGGCGAGGTGACACCCAAGAAAGCCCTAGGCACATCCCTGTGGTTCTTGCAATACCAGGTAGAACTATGACAGGAGACGAAGCACAGCCTGGGAGGCTTTTGAGCTGGAGCAGCAGCTATGCACATGGGCTTCCGTCCTCATCCCGTGCACGTGTCCTGGGGGGTCTCTGAAGGCACTTCCCCCAGTAGCTGAGTGCATGTTAAGCTGGAACAGAAGTCCAAATCACTCAAAAGGCCCAGGAGCCACCAGACTGGTGGGAAGAAAGAAAGATACCGTCCAACTGCCCCTGGGCAGGCTGCAGAGCTGCACAGGGCACTTGCCAGAGGAATAGAGGATGAGACAGGACAGAGGGACAAGTCAATAAGGCTTTGTCTCCTTCAACCCATCAACTCCACTCACTAGCACTGGACCCTGACAAGCCACCAGCAGGACAGGACTAGCACAGCTGGCATTTCCCTTTTGTCTAGGCTGCCCAAGGGCAGGGGAGGTTGGTGACTGAGGTCACACTGAGAGAGTTCACAGCAGGGGGTTCCCAAAGATGGGCTATTGCTGTTGGCAGGCCCTGAACCTGCTTCAGACCTGAGCATGGCGTCCTGCCTAGCACACGGGCTGGCAGAGGTGAAGGGAGGCCCTGAGGCTGAGTGTCAGGAGAGCTGGGGGCGCAGCATCCTCTCCATGGGTGGGAAGGGTCTCCATGACATCTCATGTGGCCATATGCCAGCTAAACACTTATGACTCTCCCGACCTCTTGCCGATTCTGGTGACAGCCTCTGACGCCTGCTCCGGCAGCTGGGATGGGTCTGTCAGGATGGAGGTGGTGGTGCTCAGCTGCCGGAGGGTATTCAGCACCACTGGAAGACACAGTGAGGGGAGTTAGCCACTCATGGGGACATGGTCTCACAATGCAGTGTGCCTGGCTGCACACCTACAGTCCTACGTGGCAATTCTGAGGCACCGGAGATAGCCACAGGCTCAACGGGAAGAATGCATTCAAGGAAGGCCCCACACTGTGACCTAGACCCTTACACCTCTGCCTCCAGATAATTCTCCATGTCCTAGCAGGAGCTGCAAAGAGGCTCAGGATTCTAGGCTGCTCCCGTGGCCACAGGGATTGCTCCAGATGACTTAATATTAAGCTCCTATAACCTCAATGTGTAGGACTAGCTGTGCTAGTTACTAGAAGAATTAAATAAGAAAATACACCTAGGCTCGGCACCTATAGCTCAACTGGCTAAGGCGCCAGCCACGTACACCTAAGGTGGCGGGTTTGAATCCCCAGCCCGGACCCGCCAAACAACAATGATGGCTGCAACCAAAAAAAATAGCCGGGCGTTGTGGCGGGCGCCTGTAGTCCCAGCTACTTGGGAGGCGGAGGCCGGAGACTCGCTTGAGCCCAGGAGTTGGAGGTTGCTGTGAGCTGTAATGCCACGGCACTCTACCCAGGGGGACAGCTTGAGGCTCTGTCTAAAAAAAAAAGAAAATACACCTAAAAGCACTTGATATAGGGCCTGTTGAAGAAACGTAAGGTGGATTTGCTGGAAGTGACAGATACACTGAAGGTGAGGGGCCCAGGGACCTGCTCCTGTCCCCAGTGGCAGTAGGGTCTGGATCCTCCCAAGCACGAGGCCAGCCCAGGGCGTGCCACCCCACTCACTTGGCCTGAGGACAGGTAGCGAGCAGTGCTGCTCCAGCCACGACAATGCTGTCTGGTGTAGCTCCTCCAGGCTGCTGCTGGACACCATCCCCCTGAATGACTCGAACAGCGGCTTAATGATAATGCTGAACTGCGCAGGGGAGTTTAAGGAAAGTACATGTGCAGGGGGCCGGGGACCCTGGGGCGGGAGGTAGGCCGGGTTTCTCTGCCTCTGGGTCTAGGAAGTGATAATGGGGGGAGACAGAGTGAGAGAGTGAAATCTCTGGGCATGGTGTGTCACAAAACATTTCCATCTAACCAGCCCTGGATGATAGATCACAACCACTAGTAGGCAGGAGACGGGTATACAGAGGTTTCCTTAGTCTGGAACAGGTCCTAACACTATGATGTGAACAAAGGTTTTTATATATACTGGTAAGAGTAGGTACAGAACAGATCGAAAGGCCGAACTGCCTGTATGATGTCTGCCTTTCATGCTAAACCCAAACATCTCAGCTCTGCACGGCTGGGGAGGGCTCCAGGACTGTCTTAGGAAACAAGCTTAGTGAGGCACAAGGCACACATTCTTGGATTTTGATCCAGGGTAACACCCACAGCTCCCACCTCAGCCTGATGGCAAGGAATGCGCCATTTTACCAGAAACCCTCTGACTCATTCCAGATGCCACTCAGCCTGATTAACGATGGGATCAGGACCAGAACAGTAAACAACAAAACAAAGCTAGGGGACTAGAGCTGATGCCTGTCATCTCCTCATTTAAAAATCATCCCTTAGAGCACACAGACACCCTGCCCTGTCCCACTGCCATGGATGTTACCCTCTCCAATGTGACCATCTCTGTCAGACCACATTTCATGCTGTGACAACCTGCACGTGTGCTGACAGGTAAAATGGGAAGATACTAAGGTTCTTTAGGTAGAATAAAGATGGGGGGCGGGGCAGGCAGGCAGGAGTCACCCCTACAGAGCCCAGGGCAGCCCTCAGGTGACCATGCTTCATTATAGTATTTGAGGCCACACAGCACAAATGCAGAAGAGAGTTTTAGGGCACTGGGTTCCCTAAGTGCCACTGGAATCCCAGCTTTGTCGTCCACCACTCACTGGTTTTGAGCCCTGGCATCTGTCTGTCACAGCAAGAGGGTGGCACTTGCCCCTCCCCCCCCACCCGCCACCCCGGTCAGTACAAGGACTGAACTGGCCACCAGGCTACGTCAGATCCAACTCTTCCTCACTATTGCTTCTGCAAGTGTTTTCAGAATTGTTCTTATTTCCTGAGGACCTAGAGAGCAAAGCCCACTGTTCTGCCTCCTCAACCCTTTCTGCAAAGCACCCCAAAGCCCCAACCCTGGATGTGGTTGCCAATGAGATACCCAGCCCACACTACAGGTCAGGAGAGACCAGACATTCCTGAAATAGACACTAGCACTATCTGTCATAACAAACTTGGTGACAGCCATTTAAAGAGTATCTTCCTGCATGAACTAGAATATCATCATCTGTTGTTTCAGTGCTTTGGTTGGAGGTGGGAAAAGCAAAGAAAACTCAAAAGATACAATCCAGAACTTCCAATTCTGCAGGGTCCGGCTTTTCACATATTCATCAAACATGTCTCTCATGTGATCAAACTGGCGCCGGGTGACAGGGACTCCTGTGGCAGGGAGCAGCTGCTGGCAGGAGCTACAACAATAGGGGAAATGAAGGGAAGCTTTGGACCAACCAATGGCAGATCAGCACCCTGTGACATGAGATGGCACGGCTGGCCCAGTGCTGGATCACAGCCAGGCACAAAAAGAGAGGTCTAGGGAAGGAGGAGGATGACAGAAAGCTAGACTCTGTGACAAAGAAGCATCTGTCTGTGCCTCAGTAACACAGGACCATGTGGGATGCGGCACCTGCCCCAAGCCTCACATAATGGTGGCGTTGAGCTCCTCAATCTCGTCCCGCAGCCGCCGCGCCTCCTCCTGCATCTGGCTCCTCTCCTGCTGCAGCTTGGTGATGTACTCCACTGTCTTCTGCAGCGTGATGGCATGGCTCGTCTGCAGGACACAGGGGGCTGGAGGCCTGCGCCCAGCACTGCCTGATGCCCTCACCCTGCCCAGCTCAGCACTCTCAGGCTACTCACCAGCTTGGAACTGTTGGAGATCAAACTGTTCAGGGTGTCGAAGCCCATCTTGATGTTAAACCGCCTTTTCTGTTCGGCTGAAATGTGCTTCATCTGCCGGTTCTATTGGGAAACCAACCAGTCACTGAGACACAGTCACTGAAACGGCTGTGGGGTCACACCACCTCTTCCTTCCTTATCTCCCAAGCTGATCCAGAGTGCTTGGGGGCAAATTAGAACTCTGGGGTGCCCAACAGGACAGGATTAGAGAGCTATCTAGGAGGGGAAAACAAAAAGCTACTGGCTCTATCCAGTGAGGAACAGGAAGGGGACGGAGCGGGGAACACTAGAAAGCCATCACTGCAGAAGAGGACACAGTCAGGGTGGGATGGCTATCAACCTAACACTTTCCAGCCAGACTCAAACCAACCCCACCCTCCCATCTTCCACTTCCCTCCTACAGCTGCACCCACCATGCTAGGAGGAGTGAGCGTTGGTTCTTGAGCTTGGGGCTCCCCTCACCACTGGGCTGGTTAGTGGGAGGGAGCAAGGCAGGGCCCACTTAATCTCAAGGTTAAGCAGGGCCCACTTAATCTCAAGGTTAAGAGCAAGACCAGCTGGATCTGTGGTTCTTTTTTCCAGCCAGATGTTCCCCAAAGGTTTCCTGATGTTTTCCCCACTCCGTTCTCATCCTTCCAACGAAATCAAGGCCTGAGAGAGAGACACGATACCTTTAATGCAGCCATATTTTTGGGGTCTGCAGATTTCCCTGAGCAGTTGTTCTGGGGAGACTGAGGACTGGGGCTTTGTTCCAACGCACATGGAGAAGCCTGCCCTGAGTTGGAGCCATCTCGACCTAAGAAGAGACATATGAAGAAGGGAACTTGGCAAAGCAGCAGCAAGGCCACCCTCCCCTCAAAGAGTACTTACAGGCAGAGAACCCCTAGCAAGTCCCAAGACTTGGAAAGCCATTTACAACCTCACATAGCTTCCTCAGGGCAAAAATTAGAGAAATCTTTGCCAACTACTAGGCCCAGCAAGCCTGAGCCAGAGTGCATGGTAATGTGACCCAGGCTCTACCCACTCCCAGGTCAGGGGAAAGTGGCAGAGCTCAGAGGGAAGAGCTGACTCTGACCCTGGGCGCCACCCTGAGGTGGCCAGGGGTTTCTGCCAGGCTCCTAAGGCACTTGCTCTTACCCTACTGCCGAGCACACAGGTGTCTGTTGTGTTTTTTTTCTTCTTTAAAGTACACATTCACATTTTCTTATGCTTTTATCTTACCCACTCCTTTTTTTTTAAACTAAAAAAATTACCACCTTTGACAAGCACAGAGCATCTATAAGAGAAGCCCTGTGACCTCCAGGGGCCCCCTACTCTACTCACTTCTGCCTCTTTATGAGACACCTCTTGGGTGGACTCTGGACTTTCTTAGATGGTTTCACTCTACTGTAACAAATGCCTCAACTCCCTTTACTCTCTCCTGGACTGTTTTCCTCAAACTGGTCTGTCAGGCTGCATAGCTTGGCTCTAAATTTGGTGTTGAGTATGTTCCAAGCTTGTGTCATCAGCAGGCTTAGCAGACCTTGCTGTGCATCCTGATGGTCCTGGCTCCATCCTGGACAGCCCTGCTGGCAGCCTCCCCCAATCCATGTCATTTCCCTCATGATATCCCAACCGTTTTGCTCTCAGTGGATACTCACTGGGCCCTGTGACAGGGACCTGGGGACTGCCCCCGGGCAGCGAGACCTGCTCGCCCTTCACCAGGGAGTCTTGGATTGTGCCTGGAGAGAAGAGCCGGGAGACGGGGCCAGGCTGGCTGCTCGTGCTGTGGCTGAGGTCTGTTACCAGGATGCTGCTATGGAACTCTGTCACTCCAGGAGCCTGTGGTGACACGGGAAAGAGGTCACCCCTGACCATGGATAGGAGCAACAGAGCAAGAGACCAGCTACTTCAGGGAAGGGTGGCTCTGGGCAACAAGGACACTGCAGGGTTCTCCTCACCCTGGCAATGGCAGCAGGTGCGATGACCACATTAGACTGGGACACAGTAGAAGCCAACATCCCTTCTCTCTTCAGATGGCCTGATGTCATGATCACTGCTTGTGGTTGGCCTGAAAAGGCAGCTGCCAGGACACGGAGAAGGTGAGGATGACGCCTTGGGCCACAGAGCCTGGCCCCAACTCTGCAGAGGCCACAGTACTCTTCAGGAGTGGCACCCAGCCCTCTGCCAAGCGACATCTTGTTCCTCACTAACAGGACAGAAGACAAAACCACCAGGGCACCTAATACTATTTTTATGACTTCTCCTTGGGGAATCTTTCTTGACTTCACCCAGGAAAGAGGTGACCAGGACTGAGGGTTGAGATTAACTTTTAAAAAAAAAAAGGACACATAACAGAAGCTGGACTGGTTCATACACACACATTGTTCCATGACACTTTTGTTTCATCTAAATGTATGCATGTGTAGTGTGGCCAGGAACAGATGGGTAGTCATAGGTTTGAAGGCCTCGGGGGCAGGAACTTCCCTCCCTGGGGCTGGGAGTTGGGGGCAGGCTGGCTCACCCCTAACTCACCTGGGGCGAGGCAAGCGTTCTTCAACACCAGGGACACAGGCTCTGGTTTGGGAGCAGGCACTATTTTGGGGGGCTGCTTGGGCCTCCCTCCAGTCATGGACACAGGTTTGGGAGGCACAAAAGTTAACCGAGGCTGGGGAGGCCCAACAGCTGGAGACTGGGTGATAGGAGACAGTGCCAGACTACAGGGGGCTGTGGATGGGGCAGGGTGATGGGTTGTGATCAGGAGGCCCTGACTCTGGCTAAAGGTGGCAGAGGCATCATGGGTAAGGGTGGCAGAGGCTGTGTGGGTGATGACGGAGGGCGACTTGCTGACTCCAGCAGACTTCTGTGGTTGAAGGAAGGCAGATGGAGCTGGGGGGTTCAGGGCCGTGGCAGGAGGAACCAATGGCAGTGCTGGGGACATAGGTGCTGGGGCAGGACTAGGGGACAGCAACGGCACAGTAAAGACCGGGAGGAAAGACTGCGGGATGCTCAGGGATGGCTCTGAGGGGCCAAAGTCTGAAGGCTGGATAAAGGGGTCCCCAGTTCGGGAAACACGTTCACAGCCCTGCCCATCGGTGGGATCCAGGGAGGGGGCAGTGGGGGGCACGATGAGGTTGTCAGGGAGGCTTCCAGTGGGGAGAGTGGTGGTTGGCAGGATGCTCTCCTGAGAAAGGAAGAGAGAAGCCAGGAAATGAAGCTGGGCTCAAACAATTCACACTCACTGCCTAGTGCTGCATACTGCAAAGCTTTAGCATCTCTGCTGGGCACCAGGACAAAGGGACAAAGGGATGTCTCTCATGCCCATTACTGCTGATCTGGGAAATAGATCTGTGTTTCCCTGAGCATCTGCAGGGGTTTTGTTTTCATCAGAAACTAAAATGATACACAGCTCATATACAGCAACTGCCTCTGCACAGCTGGACTGTAGCCTGGGAGGATCTTATTTCTGGAGTCCAGCAGAGGTGCCCCAAAAGTCTCTGCCATCTTCTATTACAGGCCAGAGGCAGCTGGGATTGCAGCTGCTTGGGGGTTCCCCCAGGGCAGTTTCATGTATCAGCTTCTAGCTAGGCCATCTCTTCCTAAATGGGAAAAGCTCTGAGGAATCAATTGTTCAGATCTCTGTCTCTATAGAAGAAATTCTCCCCAGAGCCAGTTTGAAGATGGTGCCAGGTTACCATGTCTAACTGGATACAGGCACCTATCTGAGAGCTCCACAGGGGCGAAAGACTATGCCTTGTTCAGTCCTTTAGCTCTAGCACCTATAACCAACTTTTTTTGATTGAGTTAAAAGAAAAAACTTCTATAAATAATCCATGTTGGCTCGGCGCCTATAGCTCAACCGGCTAAGGCGCCAGCCACGTACACCTAAGGTGGCGGGTTCGAGTCCCCAGCCCGGACCCGCCAAACAACAATGACGGCTGCAACCAAAAAATAGCCGGGCGTTGTGGCGGGCGCCTGTGGTCCCAGCTACTTGGGAGGCGGAGGCAGGAGACTCGCTTGAGCCCAGGAGATGGAGGTTGCTGTGAGCTGTAATGCCACGGCACTCTGCCCAGGGGGACAGCTTGAGGCTCTGTCTCAAAAAAAAAAAAAAAAAAAAAAAAATCCATGTTTTTCTTCTCTATCTAGCTAAACCTATCCTAATTGGTCAGAGCACAGCCAGCTGCGTGTAGATTACCTATAACCTCAGGCAGGAGCATCAGAGTCTGGGCTCAGCCTCCTGCCTCCTGGATGTCTAAGGATGCCTTCAGAGAGCACTGAACCAATGCCTGTGCATGTTATCTGTGCTTCTAGCAATGCCTAGCACTTTGCTTACAATGCACAGTCACATACCAGTTTTGTTCTGTGGCAGGGTTTTGGATGACCAGCCCTACGCCTGCAGGCCCCTTCCCCTGCAAGCCCCTTCCCCTGCCCTGCCCCCAGCCCCCACTACCTGTGCAGGTGTGCTGTTGGGATCTGGTGCAGATGCTGAGGCAGGTGCAGGCAGCAAGGAGTTAAAAATGGAGCGACTGGAAGAGAAGAGGTCTGAAAAACAGTATCGGGTCTTTTGAGTGTCACATGCCCAGCATTTCCTGGAATTAAGACCCAAACATAATGAGAACTACTAAACCCCACACTACCCAGAGGGATGCCATGGCCAAGGGGCACTCCCTTCAGGGCTTCAGGGATAACTTTTTCCAGCAGAAAGAGGCTCTCTGGCTGGAACCATACACGCTAGCAGCTAGGCTCTGGGCTCTGAAACACTCTCAAGCCTGGTGTCTCATCTGCTCCTGCAGATACAAGGGCCCAAGGACGCATCTGCCTGCAGGAATCAGTACAGAAGGTAGCTGTGCTACCAGCACCCTCTGCTGCTGAGAAGGAAAACCACTCACCAGCAGGGCCAATGTCCTAGAAAAGCTTCCCAGACTTTGCAGTTATTACAAACATTTTTAGTTTTTGAAAAATCCTAACTCCTTCCCTTTGCTTATCCTAACTTCTCTCTCAGAAAGGAAGGCAGCAATCTGCTCTGTGCCCCCCAGCTCTGCCCCTCCTCACCCTGGAAAGGCTCGAAAGTGTCCATGAAGTCCAGGTTGGGCTGTAGAGGAATCAGTCCTGGTTGAATCATGTCTGCATTTCCCAGATGTGCTGCATGAATCAGAGAAAACAATCATTTTGCTTTCTCAGATAGCACTGCAAAAATATATAAAAAGCCTGGAACAGACTTGGGCCCTGCTCACATTATAGAGTCATCCAAAAAAATCTGCAGGCAGCTGGTTGGGATTTCTAACTTCTTACAGGTTTGTGGCCATTCTGCACCCTCCGAAGTGAGGGGAAAAGTGAGTTTTTATAAGGAAGGTAAACTGAGTATCAGGAAATGGACACCTAGGTGTAGCTCAGCAAAGATCCCTCCCACTCCATCTAATCTGTAATCTGAGGGCTCTTACCAGAGAGGCTGGCTGGGGACGGATGCTGCCAGGCAGGAGGTACCGCCCAGGAGCACTTCTGTTTTCTTTACAGTAAAATCAGGGCCCTCCGCCCAGGCTTAGGCACATGTTCCCCACTAAGGGCACAGTATCAGAAAAATGAAACTGATTCAGACCATACCCTGCTGCTGTTTTCTCACACTAGTACCAAAGGAACAGCAGTAGCCTTGTAAGGATCAATCTACAGCCCCACTCACTCAATGCATGTGGTATCAAATGTCACATAAGGTTGACCAGTCATTACTGCTTAGCCTGAATGGTGACATGCAGCAGCTCAGAGATGGTCCTGAGAAGGTCTGGTGGAGAAGGCAGACAGCTGGGTGTTCAAAGTCCAAGTACCCAGGTAAGGCTTACCTATTTCCCGGGGGTTGGGCCAGGCCACAGGCTGGTGCGAAGAGAGTGTGGAGAAGAGGGTATCGCTAAATTCTGACATAAGCATGTCTGTGTCCAGCAGGGGGTCCTCCTCCATGGGGACTGGGGTCTTCCACCCATCCCTGTGCTTGTGCCAGTATAGCATGTCATCATCCTACCACCAATACAGTGGGAGGAAGGAGTCAAAGGTGGACTCAGAATTCCCAAGCCCATCATGCTGGGAAACATATCACAAGGGCTGCTCTGTGGAAATGAGGTGATAGGGTAGAGACATTCGGAGAGCAGTTCCCTCCAGCCCACCCCACAGAAAAAATTGGACTGTTTCCTCAGCCATTCATGGGGCCTTGGAGGGAGGGGAAAAGGGGGGGAAGGGAGCTGGCTTGTCTTCAGCCTCCAGAGGGTCTATATCCTTGCCACCTCCTGCTACACAGCTTACTGGTGGGCCACCAGGGCTCCCATGGGGGTGCTCTCAACCTCCAAGGTCACTCACCTGGGCCAGGCTGGAGAGGTCCTCATCCTTGTGCTGCTGTAGCTGTAGGCAAAGGGCAGACAGTCAGGGTAGTCATCGAGGGCCCTGAGAGGGGATACAGCCCCAACCTCACCTCCCTACACACAAGTGAACTCTTTGGAAGCATCTGGACCTCTTCTCTCTGGGAGACAGATTCGGATCCTGTTCCCTGCCAACCCAGTCCGACGCTGGCACAAAGGTGATTCCTACCCAGAGTGTGTAGGATCAACAGCCCAGTTCACAGATGGGGAAAAGAGAGCAAAGATGATTTAACCAAAGCAGGAGGTCACTTGGGCTGGGCTAGAAAGTTAAGTGGTAGCTTTCCTATTTGATGCTGAAAGTTCACAGTGCCAGGTCTGTGTTCTGAATACAGACTCTACTCCTTCCCTCCCCCAGGGGGTTTGTGGTAGGTTTTCCAATGAGGGTCCAGATACCCTTTTCTTGAAGTAAGTCCTCCACTTGTGATACTCTCTAATCACGATCTCAATGCGGCTTTTCCAGTATTTCCCTTCTGTGGTGATGGCCTGTAACAGCGACATGGGCAGAATTAAAAGAGAAGTCTTCACTTGATTAGTAAGACTCACCCATGAAAGAAGAAGTGACCAACACAGAAGAAAGCCTCATGCAGTCCAGCTCAGAAAACCCTATCTTGTGGTTATGCCTTTACTCACAAAGCAGGCCCCATCTCTTCTGTGTCACACAACTGGCCTTCTAGTTAAAAATGACCTAAAGTGGCCCAGAGGGCTTTGGGGCTCAGGTCATGAGGCTCTGCACAGGAACACAGCAGGGGAGAAGGAGATAGAGCTGCCACTTTTGGATCAGAAAGGTTCAGGCGAATGTGACTTCCAAGAGCATCTAACTCAACCTTCCCATGATGTCAAAGAGAAATACCTTCCATGACAGCCTTGAAGACTGCTAGGGACCAGGAGGCCATCCTGCCTGACAGACCATATCATTTTACCTCAAAGTACTCTTTAGTGTGTATCCCAATAAAGGATCTTTAAAAACAAAAACAGGAGTACAACATTATTAATTTTACTCTTTTATGATAAGACAAAACTTGGACAAATTTAAAACAATGCAGAAGAGCAGAAAGTGAAAGAGTCTACCTTTCTTGTCTGGCTCCCAACTCCAATCCCACTCCCCAGAGGTACCCACTATTGAACGATTTCTCTATATCCTTCCTAGCCATTTCCCATGCACACATAATCTCGTAGATACACACTTAAAGATACTAAAAGACTGCTGTGCCCCTGGCTTTTTATCCCATTTATTTATTTATTTATTTTTTGAGACAGAGTCTCAAGCTGCCGCTCTAGGTAGAGTGCTGTGGTGTCACAGCTCATAGCAATCTCCAACTCCTGGTCTTAAGTGATTCTCTTGCCTCAGTCCCCTGAGTAGCTGGGACCACAGGCGCCTGCCACAACGCCCAGCTATTTTTTGTTTGTAGTTGCCATTGTTGTTTGGCAGGCCCAGGCTGGATTCGAACCCGCCAGCTCTGGTATATGTGGCTGGCGCCTTAGCCGCTTGAGCTACAGGCGCCAAGCCTATTTATTTTTTTAAGACAGAGTCTCACTCTGTCACCCAGGCTAGAGTGCACTGGTATCAGCCTAGCTCATAGCAACCTCAAACTCCTAGGCTCAAGTGATCCACCTGTGTCCTGCCTCAGCCTTCCTAGTAGCTGGGACTATAGGTGCCTGCAACCACACCTGGCTATTTTTTCAGTTTTTAGTAGAGATAGGGTCTCACTCTGGCTCAGGCTAGTCTCAAATGCCTGAGCTCAAGGGATCCTACTCCCCTAGCCTCCCAGAGTGCTCAGATTAGAGCCACCTTGCCTGTCCTCTTCAACCTCTTTTTATCTCAATATGTAAAGATCTTAAGGTCCCTCTTCAGTCATTAACAACGTCTCCTCATGGTGACACCCATAGCTCAGTACGCAGGGCACCAGCCACATGTACCAAGGTTGGCAGGTTCAATCCCAGCCCAAGCCAGCTAAAACAACAACAACTGCAAGAACAACAAAATAATAGCTGGGCATTATGGTAGGAGCCTGTGGTCCCAGTTTCTTGGGAGGCTGAGGCAAGAGAATCGCTTGAGTCTAAGAGTTTGAGGTTGCTGTGAGCTATAATTACCATGGCACTCTACCCAGGGCAATAGCTTGAGATTCTGTCTCAAAAAAAAAAAAAAAAAAAGTTTCCTTATGGCCAGGCATGGTGGCTCATACCTGTAATCTTAGCATTCTGGGAAGCCAAGGCAGGTGGATTGCTTGAACTTAGCCTGAGCAAGAGCGAGACCCTGACTCTACTAAAAACAGAGGAATAAAACTAGCTGGGCATAGTGGTACATGCCTGCAGTTCCAGCTACTTGGAAGGCTGAGGCAAAAGAATGGTTAAAGCCTGAGTTTGAGATTGCTGTGAGCTGTGACACCATGGCAGTCTACTGAGGGTGACAAAGAGAGACTGTCTCAAAAAAAAAAAAAAAAGAACAGAAATAAGTCTCCTCATAAGGGGCCAGAATCCCTCCTTGTTGACTTCTATAAGAAACATTAATTTTAAGTGAAAATAGAGGATAAAAATTAATTAAATCCATGATCAAATCCTTCAGGTCTTTGGCCAGCCCATCTGAGAAGGGAGAAAGAACTTCTGTGGCTTGGAGGATATTAAGTCACTTGCCCCCTATGCCTGTCCTTTCTCCACATTGTGCTACCAGGATAGTGCAGGCCCAGCACTGGCCCCCTGCAATCTCCTTTGAAGATCCAGCCCTCACTAAGCTGTTCCTCTTGAAACAAGGGCAGTTTTCCTTTCTCAGCCACAAGTACCTCTGGCCGGCGGTGCTCATCCACGTCAACAGAGCCATCCAGGGGAGTGACAAAATGACATACAGGATTCTTGCGCTTCTCCAGATCTGGGCAGAGAGAGAGAGTGAGAGGTCATCACTACTACCTAGATCTCAGAAGAAGCCTGCTCTATCTGTCCACACCCTCTAGGTGAGATCTTCCCAAGTACTCTTTCCTCTCCTTCCCTTGGAAAACTGAGATTTGGGGGAAGTAAAGGATTCTAGGTTAAAGGAAAAGAATGTCAATGATGCAGGAGCAAAAGGAATCGACTGATGAAGAAGATGGCAGCCCCACACCAGCACATCCAGCCCATACCTCTTCTGGAGAAGGTCTGGAGTCATCAGCATCCACACTGGAGCCAGGAGGATGCCCAGATCTTCTCAGACCTGCTCCTGACTCTTCAGATGTCACTTCTCTGCTCCACCCTACCCACCCTAACTTGGGCCCAGTTGTCTAGGATGACACTCAGCACATACATGGTGAGCGACTGTGTCACACGTCAGTCCCCTCTAGACTTTGGCAGCTTCTCAGCAGAGGCCACTTTATCAGCCTCTTGGGCTTGAGGGCTAATAGGTGTCCAGTTCCCCAGGGTTTGACTTGGGTTTTCCTATCTCCACAGACTGCTCAAGAGAGAATTCTGCTAGAAGCATGGCATCCCAAGCGCAGGCTCTGTGCCATAGCCCCATCCCATCCCAGCTGCTCCCAGCACTTACACTGCATGTACCATGCCCGCCAGATGGCATTGTTGAGCCGGATCTTGTCTCTCCACTGGAGCTTCAGGCCCTTGAAATTCTTCCACTTTGGAGACACTAACTTCCCACTGCAAGGCAAGACAACAAACAGGGAGACTCAGTGGTGGCTCTGAAAATGAAGTGAAATTACAATGTGCTACCCATCATTTCAGACCCCAAAACGCCTCGCTGATCCATTACCAGCCATACAGGCTAGAAATGATGGAATGCAGAAGTCCCCCTGGGCTGAGCAATATGTAGTGGGGAGTGGTAGAGACAATGTTCACATGTGGGAAAACAAGATCGGCCACAGGACGCAACTGCTGGAATAGAGATGATATGTGGGGCTCATTGTATTCTTCTATCTACTTTTCATAATTTCCACAATTAAAAATGAAAAAGAAATCTGCTTACCACCTAATAAAAACCTGACCTTGGCTCACTTGCTTTGACATGACATCCTGAGAGGCACTTATAATCCAGACACACCCATGTCCAGCTTAAGTGCCTGCAGAGCCCTTCCTGGCTCACTCCCAATGGCATTCCCTCCACTAGGCCACCAGCTTGTCCTTCCATATGCTGTTCCCACACCATCCCATCTGAGCCAGCACTGACCTCTCCCAGGCTGCGCCAATTCCAACTCTGGACAGCACTCATGCTCATACATACACACACTCAACACAACAATGTCCACACACATGCACCTACCCCATATAAGACTATAGCTTCTCTTGGGAGGGCCCTGCAGGTATTTTGGCACATAGTACTGGCTCATCTGACAATTCTTCATTGAATAAGTTAAGAGAACTTGCAAACCGAGCTGATAACAGGTGAAAGCTCCCGGGTAGCACAGCGTTCCTGGGCAGTTCAGTTTTCCAAGTGCTATGCCAAGAGTCATCTCTGAGTAGCTAGCATAAGGTATCTCTTTTGCAGACGGCTTGAGAAGGGCAAGGCACTATTTTTGGTCCATATCAAAGGGCATTTGGAGGTTGTACCTGACTGCAGGCCACAGCCCTGGCTCCCTGTCCAGTCCTACTCCAGGGACATGCCAATGACAGCTGCAATCTTCAAAGAAAGCGCCAAGCCATAAACATTAAGTGAATCTGAAAAGGTGGTCTGTAAAGCAAAACCCCCTAGCTAAAACCTCACATCTATCCCCACCAAAACCAGCAAGGAGCCAGACTTTGGATAATATGGGCCAGAAGGCTATGACCTCCAGATAAAATGTCACAGCACATCCTCTGGGCATATGAGGTACATCCAGGAGTCACACACCTTCCTCCTTCCTTCTCTCCCCAATTGAAAGACACATCGAACCCACCTCTACAGTGACTGGTTAGCCTCACCTACATCTAAAAGCCAGGGCTGTAGCATCTCAGAGCTGTTCCCTGTATTACTGCACACCCTCAAAAGTCAGAATAATACCCCTCCTCCTGTGCTTTAATAGGGATTAAATGAGAACAGGTATGTATGCACAGTATACACACACAACTGGTATACCCTAAAGCAAATACTAAAGCGATAATAGTAACCACCTTGATTACATAGATGTAAATTACTACTGAAAGGTATGATTTTTTTTTTTTTTTTGAGACAGAGCCTCAAGCTGTCCCCCTGGGTAGCGTGCCGTGGCATTACAGCTCACAGCAACCTCCAATTCCTGGGCTCAAGCGAGTCTCCTGCCTCTGCCTCCCAAGTAGCTGGGACCACAGGCGCCCGCCACAGCACCCGGCTATTTTTTGGTTGCAGCCGTCATTGTTGTTTGGCGGGTCCGGGCTGGGGATTCGAACCCGCCACCTTAGGTGTACGTGGCTGGCGCCTTAGCCGGTTGAGCTATAGGCGCTGAGCCGAAAGGTATGATTTTTAACATTATCTCCTGACTTGTTAAGTCCTTTCCTTGACATTTCCACATTGCCATTTGGCTCCTGCTCATCCATAGGTGAAAAAAGAAGGTACTATGTGCTCTTCTCAATACAGTGAACAGATGCAGGCAAAGGTCAGTCTGCTCACCCTCTGACATCCCATGTAGCTGCAAAATTAAGGGCGTGGGGGTTTCTCATTTACTCAGTCGACAAGTACTAAGCACCTGCTCTGTGCTGTCAAGAGCTAAGAGCTAAGAGAAGAGGTGCAGGAGACAGATAAGGTCCCCCAAGGAGCATGCCCACGGCTGAGGCACACATCCTGCCTACATGCCAGTATCAGGCAGGCAGAGGGCTGTGGGCATAAGGCGGCATAACCAAGCCAGCCATGCAGTCAGGAGAGGCCTATGCCCAGAGGACAGGAAAGCTAGCTCAGCTGAGGAGGGAAGTGAGGTCCATGCTGTTCCTACTGCCTAGCCTGTGGTGGCCCAAGGAGTAGGAACTTGTCCTCATTGAAGCAGCAAAAAACCCTGGTGTGGTCAGATTCTGGAATTGGTGCTGAACAAGGTCAGACGGCAGAGAATGTCCCAGAGGATGATGGTCCTACCTGTGGACAAAGCCAGCCCTCTTTCCACTTTTCTGCAAGATCACCCAACCACTTGATGCCAGCCAAGCAGGTGGGTCTAGGAAATAAAACTAAAACTTTACTTATAATTGACACATCTTCCTCATACTGAAACCCAGAATCCTGGGGCTGCTTTCTCCGAGTTTAGAAATAACTATTAGGCTTAAACATAAACCCAACCTTACCTCTGCTGTGTTATTTAAGAACGAACATGCCAGTGTGAGCACAGAGCATCTTCCCAGAGAAGCCACATCACACCAGCTACTTCCATTAAGCACAATGAAGGGAGCAGGAAGACACAGAGCAATTAAACCGTATAGGCTAGACACCAAATATGACAGTCTTCAGTTTAAGGGTTTCCATCTTTAGCCTCCCGTTTGGTGAAATGTCTCCCTTTTCCATGATGTTTGTATCACATAGGGTCAGACTTCAGCTGAATACCCAGCTATAAAGAACTGGCATCGGCTTGGCGCCTGTGGCTCAAGCGGCTAAGGCGCCAGCCACATACACCTAAGGTGGCGGGTTCGAATCCCCAGCCCAGACCCGCCAAACAACAATGATGGCTGCAACCAAAAAAATAGCCGGGCGTTGTGGCGGGCGCCTGTGGTCCCAGCTACTTGGGAGGCTGAGGCAGGAGACTCGCTTGAGCCCAGGAGTTGGAGGTTGCTGTGAGCGTGATGCCATGGCACTCTACCCAGGGGGACAGCTTGAGGCTCCGTCTCAAAAAAAAAAAAAAAAAAAAAAAAGAACTGGCATCAAGCCATCAACCCAGAATTCTCTAATATCTCAAGAGCCAACAGGTGGCGCTCAACAAACACAATGAAGTGAGTTCAAACCAAAACCAAAAGCTAAACTACCCCAAGGAGGAAGAACCACTCACCACCCCTGACCCCCAGGCCTATCAAGGCAGTTTCAGAAGAAGCAACTCATATAGCTCTATGACGTCAAGGTGTTATAAAGAGGAAGGGATGGGTGCACCTACACAAACTGTGTCGGAAATGCTAGGGTAGGTTTCTGTAAATTTCTTTCCTGAGGGGTTCCTCAGAGCCTTAAAGTTGCTTATCTTCCGGAGGAGAAAAGACATTTCCTATGCAGACATCCACAGGGACCTAAAGTCTCATTTCCCACAAAATATACTAATAGGAAAAGCTGCTCTAAAAAGTCCCCTGGGCTTGGCGCCTGTAGCTTAGTGGTTAGGGTGCTGGCCACATACACCAGGGCTGGCGGATTCAAACCCTGCCCAGGCCTGCTAAACAACAATGACAATGACAACAACAACAACAACAAAAATAGCCAGGCATTGTAGTGGGTCCTAGCTACTCAGGAGGCTGAGGCAAGAGAATTGCTTAAGCCCAAGAGTTGGATGTTACTGTGAGCTGTGACAGCATAGCACTCTACCAAGGGCAACACAGTGGAACACTGTCTCAAAACAAATAAATAAAATAAAAAGTCTCATGAGGGAACCTGCAGTAGAGCAGGGCAGCAGCCTAGAAAGCAAGGCAGGTCAGACTCCAACTCCCCCAGCCCTGCCCGGCTGAACTTGCCTTCTAGACGCTGCTGACTGGGACGCTTCTTAGTCTGACTCAGGACTGTGTCATACTCTCTCTTTAAAGCACAACCAGAAACACATGATGAACATTTTTCTGGGGTCACTGGCTCCCCCACAATAGCCTCAGCTTCCCTGCCCTAGTCACCCACGGAGTTCTAGGGCCTCCTCATCAGAACAATGTTCCCCAACTCTACTCATCCACTTAACTCCCTCCTCCCACTCTGTGGGAAGGCCAAGGTCTGGGGCTGACTCACCTCAGAGTACTTGGCACATAGGAGGTGCTTTTAAATAAAGAGTTATTAAATGGGCCAGGAGCAGTGGCTCACACCTGTAATCCTAGCATACTGGGAGGCTGAGGCAGGTGGATCATCTGAGCTCAGGAATTTGAGACCAGCCTGAGCAAGAGTGAGACCCTGTCTCTGCTAAAAACAGAAAACCTGGCCAAGCATTGTGACAGCCTCCTAGCTACTCAGGTGGTTGAGGCTGGAGGATTGCTTGAAACCAGGAGTTTGAGGTTGCTGTGAGCTCTGATGACACCTGACATTCTACCCAGCGTGACAGAGAGACTCTATCTCAAAAAATAAATATTAAACTTTTCCTTGAAGAACAAACTTTACACCACCCTGCCATAGCTGCCTTTCCTAGAAGGCAGGTTCTTGACATAAAACAGGAAATTCTCAGTACAACAAAGGTCTCTCTCAAAACTTCTTGGATTAAATTAGCAAACTATGAATTCTTCAGAGGTCTGGCAAGAGACCACTTTGGATTAGAAGGAAATTAAATTGCAAACTTCACACAGACCAAGCTGGAATTAAGAGGAACAGGGTGGGCAGAGAAGTACTATAGGCAGGACCAGGTCAGGGATCCTGGATTCTCTAGGTCCCAGGTGGGGTTAGCTCCTGACTCCTGCTCAGATCATTCTCTCCGAAAGAAGACTGGTAGAGGTCTCTTGTCTCACACACCTGGTAGAGTCCATTCAACTATGTTTGGTTGGTATGGGGCCACACTCCTTTACCACTCCTGCTGCTTCCTAGAGGGACATCCATCAGCAAAACA